ATAAAAGTCTGGTATATATTCTTTCCTTTTTACATTTCCTTGTGAATTATCCCATGCTCAGAGAGAGTGCATAGATGGTTACTGAAGTCTAAAAAAATGTGTTGGATACTGTTATCAATATCTAGGTTTTCTACCTAGAAGCTTGCGAGTCAGGAAGTATATTTGAGGGACTTCTTCCTGAAGATCTAAATATATATGCTACCACAGCATCAAATGCTGAGGAAAGTAGCTGGGGGACCTATTGCCCTGGAGAGTATCCTAGCCCTCCCCCAGAATATGAGACCTGCTTGGGTGACTTGTATAGCGTTGCTTGGATGGAAGACAGGTATGTTTGACTGGTATTGAAATATCCTAGCCACTTGTGCATATTATTAACTGTGATGTCAGATATTAATCTGGAGATATACTTGTTTTAAATGCTAATCTTTTAAAGGTTTCATGTTGGTGTGATCATGATACTGTCTTTTACATATCACTAGTATGATGAAGAAAAGTGCCAATGAGCCGCAATTGAATACAATATATGGACTTGAATTGGAGGTGTAACATTTGAATATAGTTATTGGGTATTTTTTACTCTCTAACAAACAAAGTGGTCTACATGATTTCTGTTTTCTTTGTTTGTTTTTGGTGCTCATCATAATAGTTTTTCCTTCTACAGCGAGATACACAATTTGCACACTGAAACTCTGAAGCAGCAATATCACCTGGTAAGGGCTTGTTCCTCATTTTAAATTACATTGAAAGGAACATTTTATGTTTCATTACTCAAAACAATTAGCAAGTACCATCTTGTGATTTCAAAATGCTTGAAATTGGCAGGTTAAAAAGAGAACCTCAAGCAGTAATTCAGCTTATGGCTCCCATGTTATGCAATATGGTGACCTAAAGCTGAGTTTCGAGGATCTTTTCCTCTACATGGGTACCAACCCTGCAAATGATAATTACACTTTTGTGGATGAAAATTCCCTACGGCCATCTTCAAAAGCTGTTAATCAACGTGACGCTGATCTGTTGCATTTCTGGGACAAGGTATTACAGCTTCCTTGTAGTGCATTGAGTTATTTTGATGCTTTTCTTGTGATGTCCAAGTTTTAGTTTATGAGTTATAACAGTGATGTGGAGCAGGACAAGGGTAAATCTGCCACTCAGCCCATGGTAGATTGAAAAGAAGTTAAGACATTTGGCTCCACTGCTATGCAGGAACGAAAAGTGTTTCTTGGAGATTTATTTGCTCCCTAGTTTGATAGAACTAAGTGCTGACTAGTATAAACATTGTTGGTTAGAACAGTGTATTAATTAAGAATGTGCTCATGTTGTATTATTGTAGGGTAAACAAGAGAACTAGCCAAAATTATACTAGTAATTTTTTGTTTCATGAGAACAGGCCAGAAATCCTCAACTGGGTGAATTAGAATGATCCCCTTTCGTAACGAGGGGGAGATAATAGTGCAAAAGCTTAAATTCCTTCCCAAGATGTGGCTGACTTTGCTGTCTACTTTTTTCATGCTTGTAGTTCCGCAAGGCTCCTGAAGGCTCTGCGAGGAAAGTTGAAGCTCAGAAGCAGGTTGTTGAAGCTATGTCACACAGAATGCATATTGACAATAGCGTGAAACTAATTGGAAAGCTTTTGTTTGGAATTGAGAAAGGTTCTGAGATACTGAACTCTGTCCGGCCAGCCGGCCATCCTCTTGCTGATGACTGGGACTGCCTAAAATCTTTGGTAAACTTTTATATCCATTTCTATCAAATAGATTCTGAAATCCCCAAGCAACACACATACTGAATAACACCAATTACAGTTATTGACATAATTTGCAGGGATCGTTGTTTTAGGTTTTTCTTTTCTGTATTTCCTTTAGCTAAGGGAACTGTATTGCTAAGTGTTTACAACTCCAGTTTTTGGCAAGGTTTTGCAACATATTTCACCCTGTAATAACCTTATCTTATACATTCAAGTGCTCTTGTTATCTTGCAGGTCAGAACATTTGAGACATATTGTGGTTCACTATCCCAATATGGAATGAAACACATGCGATCCATTGCGAATATCTGCAACGCTGGGATTAAAAAAGATCAGATGGCTGAGGCGGCAGCCCAAGCCTGTGTCAGCCTTCCATCCAATTCATGGAGCTCCCTCCACCGGGGATTCAGTGCATGATGATTGTTTCAGAAATTGATAACAAAATTACCTAGAATGTGACAGCATATTTTTGCTTGCACATATGATCAATTATGATTGTAAAATAGCCTACTTGCTTTTCATTGGATTTGCTTCCTTGTAAATAATCCTCAGAGAAGCATATCATATCTCTACCGAAAAGCCTAGGTGCTCTATATTTAGATAATGACAATTGTCATATGGCTGTATTTTTCTAGTCTTGCTGCATCATTGCGTTTGTGTGTGTGTTAGTTTATACTGCAGCAAAATGCTTATGTGACAGCATGAGAGGGGAATATGGGTAACCAATGTGCTCTGTCTCATGGAATTGGAAGCATAGCATATATATATATATATATATGATTATGTTTGTAATCATCTGTATAACTTTTTTCCCTTGAGTTTGGCTTTGCTCCTATATCTATTTTGTTCTGCGTAATGAAGTCCCTGTTTTATTAAACAAAAAGGAATCTGAAAAATGTTTAATAATTCTTTCATAAAACTTATTAATGTTTGTGACCAAAAAAAAAAAAAAAATAAAACGATACCTTACACTCTAAATTTGGCTCGAGCCTCACTAATAAATATTTTATATATGTTTGTGACAAAATTGCCCCTACTCACTCAAAAATCCACCGCTACTCTTCACTCTCCATCCTCCCCTGACCAATTCTGCACATCACCATCATTGCTCAAAATTATCCCCCACACAAAACTCTGGAATCTTCACCTTCCTCAAGTAGCACCCAAAAGAAAAAGATTTTCCATCTCATCTCTTCATCCGAACGAATAAAACACTCCAGAGACTTTTTTTTTTTTTTTTAAAATAAAAAAAACAGAAAGAGAGAGACAGAGACAGATAATAATATTTGCCAACTCCTAGATTTTTTCTTTTTTTTCTGGGGGGCAGATTTTTGGTCAAATTTCGATGCATGAGAATTTGTGATGATATGCTTCTTTCTTGTCTTTACTTTTGGTTTGAACGGTCGTAAAGGAGTGCGTGATGTAGCATAGTGATTGTGGGGAGATAGAAAACATTTTTCTTTTCAATGGATAAAAGGACACAATTGGAGCGAGCTTAGGTTCAAACTTAGAGCACAAGCAACAAATAACAATGGCCAAAATAACAAAGAATTAACGGTTTTTTCATGCGCTTTTGAGATCCATGCCCATCATTTCATACAGTAATGAGACAGACAGAGCATAATGAGGCTTCTTCATCAGCACTCCGTTGTCCAAAATACAGGGCATCTATTAACGCAACATCTCTATTGACTAACAATAATAATCAAAAAAGAATCAATCTTGTATGGATTGATAGTGTATATATATATATATTATTACAGTTGGATGTATAAAATTTAAAATTTAAATCTAAATTCAGATAATCAGTTATTATCCATTCAATGAAGACAGTGCATACATTATTGTTGTTACTGTGAATAAGATTAATCGAAAAAATTGATGCAACACGGAATAGTAAGTTTTGCTTTTATGCTTTGATGAATGTTTAATTTTGTTTACCTGATAAACATACTAAAAATAGATAGGCCGACGAAAAAATGTGTGTAAAGGATAAAAAAAAAAAAAAAACAACCTCCACCCTTCAACGCTACATGCTATATACTTATATTTATGAAGTACTTGCATCCACTGACTAATAGAATTTCTTCCGAGCATGTTTTACAAACACAAAATTCTGAACACATTTTGTTTTGTTTTGTTTTTAACTTATCTTTTTCCTCCAAATCTCGGTGCATTGACACAATGAGCTCAAACATCACACGTAAGAAATTCATGAGTAGATTCAAGAACATATGATGAGGCGAATTAGAATTAGTACATAAAGAGTATGACTAAAATAGCATCAGACATTTTGAAATTTTAGAAGTTTCTAACAAATTTCTAAAAAGTATGACTAAAACAAGTTTTTTGACATGCTTGTTCCGAACGTGGAAGAAAAACAAATGATTCACTAGTTAGAGAAAGTGCAAAATTGTTGTTTTAGAGTATGTAAAAATCCAATCAAAGGTATGATATATGGCTTTTTGTTTATATCATTAGATTTTCTTTAGATGCAGTTGAATATTGTAAATAACCTGCAGTTTTTTTTTTTTTTTTGAAATTTAGTGTCCTCATCCCATATAATTGATGCTTATAATATGATAAAGGTCCAATATTTGCATAATAATTGTTTTCTTTCCCTAAATTGATATATTGGCAAATATATATTTATGTAGGGGTTGATAAATTTTATATCTCTCTTCAAATGATTTTTCATTCTATATGCTCAAATCATATAATTTTATGTAATTACACTCAAATTACATAGCACGATGACAGAACAATAAATTGTCAGTGAAACCTTGCTCCCTCGCTAAAAAACCAACTATGGCGTAAATGTGGAAAAAAAAAAAGGAAAAATAGTTTTGTTAGATTTGGTTTGAAAATGAATTATGATTTTTTTGGGGTATTACCTGACTTTTTCGAGCATGATGATTCTCTTACAAAATTGGTAAAACCAAAAATTCATTTAGCGAAATAGATTGGGTCAAATAAATTGTGCAGAGTAATTGAGTGATGCAATTGAAATATCGAGGTAAAATAGGCTTAAAATTTGAGGGGGTAGAGTGAAAATGTTAAAAGTGTTAAGATTCCATCCGACGAATTAACGACGAAAACGGGGGAATTAACAAAGATGATGACGTGTGGAACGAGGAGACATTTGGGCCGTCCGATAATATCTACTACACAGGGGATTGAAGATGGGCGGGCCTGATGTAAAGAGCATGGAAATTGAAAAAAAAAAAAAAGGAGGGTATAAAACCAGGGGTTTGAAAGAAAGGGAGAGAGACTATTTCGTTCTGTTTTGTAGTTTTTATCTGAAGAAGAAGAAGGAAACAGCACTCTCTTCTCTCTTTCTCTGAATTTTCTGTTTTTCCTTTCTGCCATATTCTTTTAAAGAGAAATAGAAGCAGCGGAGCGTCTTGATTTTGCTGGAAACATCTGGGTAGGTGAAAATGTTGGATGGATTTTCTTGAACTGAGAAAGATCTGCCTGCCTGCTGCTCTGTTACAATTGTACTGAGAAATTGTGGTGAAAGGCCCAGCTTATCTGTAGTAATTGAGAAAATTGATCTTATGTTGCTTGTTTTTTGTTAAACAGATACATTATTCAAAGAGGAATTGGAGTTGTTTTCAGAAGAATTTGTTTGGACTGGGATTTGAGTTTCCTTAGAAATCTCATTTTTCTGTCTGATCCTGAAGCTTTGGAGGTTAGTGATGGTATTGGAAATTTGATTTTCGTGGATTTTCTTGTATGAATCTTTGGCGATTTAAGCTTGTCTTTTTTTGCTGAATTCTGTTCGACAGGGGAGATTGCAGGAATTTTCAAGTCGGAGGATCAGTTTCTGGGTTGGTGAAGATCGGATTTGGAATTCAGACAGAGGATTAAAGCTCTGATTTACTTGAAACAGTTCCTAATTCTGAGGACTAAAGACGATCAGAACCATTGTTGATTCTCGGTTGTTGATATGAGTTTTCAAAATGAAATCCAAGTGTATAAATACAAATTCAGGTACTAAAATTTGTTTCTTTCATTTGCCAAAAATCAGAGAATTCATCTACTACTGATGTTTGATTTTCAATAAACTGATGGAATTTTTTTATGGGGCTTTGTTTTTACAGATTTTGAGGCCGATTCGTGTGATGTGTCAAAACTAAGGTCTCTCTGACAGAGATTCCAAAGTGGTTGCCAAGATTTCATCCAGGAGCAACTTCTTTGATTACAGAATTTCAGCATAATTTTGAGGTAATGTGATTATTTGGATTCCCAAGCAATAGTTTCAGAAAATTTGCTGGTCTAAATTTCAGCAAGCAAAAGCCTGTCAGATGATTGGAATTGGTGATCAGAATATTTTCTTCTTCAACTTTTGCTCTTTCTCTATTCCAGTTTTTCAGATGGAAACCTTTTTTTTTTTTCTTTTGGGATTTTCCCCTGCCTTTTATCTCTACAATCCAATTGAATTACTCAGAGATTTGCTTCAATGAACGAACCCTGTTATGAAAGGTAAAAAAATCATCTTCATATGCTGTTTCTCTCAGAAAATTTTCAGTTTCTGTTTTTTCAAGAGAAGCATTTTATTTTCTAATTGCTCCCTTGACTGTATACGCAATTTTGGGCTCAGGAGGATGACCCTTTCTTTATCCTTTCCCCTTCTTTCTTCCTCCCTTGAATGGTGTTTGTTTTGAACATAAATGGCTAAACTTTTCCATTTCCTCCATTTTTGATTCTTGAATAATGTAATTTTCCTCCATATGAATTGATAAGATCTTCTCCTGGAAACCAACTCGTCTTCCAAATCCAGTGTTAGTACCACTTTAGAAACCCAGAATTTCCTAATTTTAGCAAACAAATCCTGAATGGTCAATAATTGATCACCAACTCTGATTTGGTGTTAATTTTGTGACTTTTTTTTTTTAACTCCAGTTAAATGCTGCAGTAAAGAATTTTAATTACAGTGGTGATTTGTCCGACAGGTGGAAGTAAAAAAAAAAAAGGGCCAGAAAAGGTAGAGATAAGGATGGAGAGGAATTCGAATCCTAACCACCACTATAATAGTAGCAATGAGACCAGGTCCCCTGCTACGACGTCGTCTGACTTCGGTTTACAGTGGGGGAGCCGTAAAAGGCTGCGTTGTATGAAATTCCAGGCCAAAGTCCGGGACAACGGCAATAACCGCGACTCCTCCGGGTTGCAGCCGGGCGGTCTGAGAGCTGTGGTCGGGGTTGATCGGCGGCTAGTAAGATCGGACCATAATAAGGATTTATCTCAGCCCAGTGATGCTAATAACAACAATGGGAATTCCAATAACGGCGGAAATGTCTATTTGAACCTCCGTCAGCGGCCGGCTTCTCCATCTCACCGAATTCTTAGGTACATTTTTTTTATTGTTTTGTTTTCTGTTTTGATAAAATTGGTTGTTATTTTTTTCTTCTGGTTTTTTTTGTGGGGTTTAAAAATCCAACTCAGTGTGGTTGAGTCACGTGAGCGGCGCATGGGATTGGAGAGTTTGTGGGATTTGGGTTGATGGAAGTGGTGGGGCTCCTTAATTTTTTGATTGATGATGGTTTAGTGGGTGGGGTATGGATTGATTGATGGGCAAAATAGAATTATTAAAAGATTTAAGACGGTTTCCCCAATTTTATAATCTAACCTATTATCAATCTTTTTTTTTCTTTTAATTTTTTTTCATATTTGAATATCCTACTTACGGCTTGCAAGAGGAGTTGTCCTACTTACATCACATAGATGCGTCATTTTTAATCATCGTTTTATCTCACATGTATTATATCACAAAAAATATTATAATATTATTTTAAATATAATTATTTTTTATTTTTTATATATAAACATTGTATTACAAAAAGTGATACAGTGTGTTTGTTTGGATTGGGCTTTATTTCCCCAAATTTATTTGCTTACATCATCATTACAATTTCCAATACACCTTTTTACCTTCCCAATTACCTTTTTATCTCACATACATCACATCAAAAAAAGTGTTACAGTAAAAATATCTCTAGTATTATTTTAGTTAATTTTTTTTTTCAAATAATCTCTAATTCAAATGGACCCAAAGTAAATTAATAGACTATTATTTTAGTTAATTTTTAGTTTTATATATATATATATATCACATCTCAAAAAGTGATACAATAATATTATTTTAATTAATATTTTTTTTTTCAAATAATCTCCGATCCAGACGGACCCAAATGAAATAGTAATAGAATATTATCACATGGGTGGACGTCCAGCCCAAAATAGATCGTGTGGCTGATCATGGCATGGAAATTTCCATTTTTAAGATAATAGTTTTGGGACTTGGATCCTTTGTCACTTTTAAGTTGGATGGATAGGCATAATATGGCGTGCTAGCTATTTTGTCTGTCTCACGCTCAATGAATTCTTTGATCTCTAAAAAAATTTTGAAGTGATCTATTGTCACGCGCGTCTTGATCCTTGGTCGCTTTAAAGGTAACCATCAGATAGTTGCAGAATTGAACCCCTCCACGTATGGCAATTTTGTCATGATTAAATGGAATTATAATGTTTTGATTGAGAAGACGTGGATGGGGCGGGGCCTCCGCTGGGTGGGTGTAAACGTTATTAACCACAGATAATGAGGATTGCTGGTGTCATTATGGAAGGTCAAAACGGATCAACTGATAAAAAAACAAAACATATTAATTATTTTGATTTTCTTGATGGGCTGGGGAAGACGAAACTGAGAATCCATTTTTATGATCGGGTCAATTAACCCATTTCTTTCTTTCTATTTTGTGTGTTGTTGCAATCACAGGCAATTAAGGCAGTGGGCCCTACTCGCTGCCCTTTTCAACACGTCCATGTATGTGTATGTATAACAATAAGGGATATCATGTAAACTCCAATTCCCTATCAATTTCCAGCATCATTAGAAGATCCATCCAATAGAGAGGTGTTGGGACACGTAACCCTTCCCTTACATGTAATGGGAATATCGATCCTACGGCCAGAAACCAAAAACCCGTAAAAAGCTTCCCCTTCTCCCCCTAAAATATTCCCAGCGTATAACACGCACCCAACCCACATAATCTTTCTTTTTTGATCACTTTTTTTAAAGCTTTTATCCGGGCTCAAGAAATCAGCGCCCGTATACCCTTCGCCCATTTTCTACGCAATTCCCCAGCGTGATTCTTGTTTTCAATTTTCATAGCGTACAATTCAACGTAACCCCGAGATCTATCGTTTCGTGACTACCCCACAAAGGCTATTTTGGTAGTTTACTTTTCCCTTGTAGTAAAAGGGCCTAAATGTTATTGGTAGTGCATATTTTACAGCCCATGCTAGTCCTAGGAGGAATGATGTTAGAAATTTATGTTCAGTGTTTTCTGATTACAAATTGTTGTTTGTGTTTTTTTTTTTTGGTTCTTTTCTTTTCTTAGGAATTCCGATAGTTCACTGGCTATGAGGGGACAAAGCAACGGGGTGAGGGGTTTGGCTTCCCCGGACAGGGTAGGGGCTGGTGGCCATGATAGGAAAGGGGGCAACAACAGCCTTCATCACCACAGCAATGGTACCAAGAACAACAGCAACAACAATAATGATAACAGCAACAACAATAATGATAACAGCAATAATATCAATGGGTCGGCATCATCGGATAGCAAGAAAGGAGGAGGGACTTCATCCGGGAGTGATGCGATCCCTGCTGTTTGGCCGCCTAAGTTCGTGATCGCCTTGACGAATAAGGAGAAAGAAGAAGATTTTATGGCCATCAAGGGTTCCAAACTCCCTCAAAGACCCAAGAAAAGAGCTAAGTTCATCCAACGCACCCTCAATGTAAGTTCTCTACTCTCTGATTATCTTTTGTTTTATATCAAGTTGCTATAATTTGTGATCAACTGCTCTGTTTTGAACTTTCAAGTAATCTCTGCTTCTTGTTGTTCCCTTCATTACCCTTTTTAGAATTATCCATAGAGAGTATAAAATTTGTTGCCACAGCAATAGAGTTGCTGCTTCAGTGTTTTTCTAGCAAAATCAAGTATACTAGTACTTTTTTTTTTATTATTGAGTCAACTGGGTTGTTTAATTTTTCTTGTTGATTACGCATTTACTGAATTTTTGCCTCTGAACAAAAGGTAGCTTGTTTGCGAAGAAGAAGGTCTTTAGAGAATCAGTACGTTAGTTTCACTTTAGATAATAGTTGCTGGTTTAGGTACAAAAAGCATTGCAAAAGCAATGGTGGAAACAACACCATGCTTTTTGGTGAGGTCTTCTCCTCCTCCGTGACTTAGGACCTTGGTGGGCTTTTGGCTTTTTTCACAAAGGGCTACAAACCATAAAGAACTAAGTGCTTATGTATGCGTGCAAGAGGATGACATCTGGTTGATGCAGGACACGTGCAGATGTAGCATGGATGCAGATTAATTTAGCAATTGCTGACCATAGAAAACGTAGCTGGTTGAACTAAGAGTATACAGGGTGCCACGAGGCCTTTGGACAGTGACGAGAACCCAATTAATTATTTGGTTAGACAAGTTGATTAGCTAAGTGATCAAAGATATTGTATCACTTGCACTAAATCACATATTACACGTTATTTGTTGTGTGTGTGTGTGTGTATATATATATATTTATATCTGTATGTATGTGTATGTATATTAGTAGTTGGACAGTGTCTAATTGTGCTCTGCAAGGAAGAAAAGTAAAGCACTGTGTATAATGATGCCTACTCCATTCAATAATTGCTTTGGAATTTGGATCATAGCTCCGGCAAACAAATTTCTTTGGAACATGGAGACCAAGCTCGATATGATTCTAATTCCTAGCCAAATGGTTTGATCAGCTTGTGGATGATAATGGAAGAACATTATACCCATGAGTGTCATATTCCTTTTTTTTTGGTAGAAGTGTCATATTCTTTACTATTACATTTGGTGGAATCCATCTCTTTGGACCACCTGACCAACTGACAAAGGCACAAGGGACAAAGCACAATGGCATAAAAAACACAGGGCGTGATTATGTTTAAGAAGTGCTTTTTGCAGTCCAAAACTGGTTTATGTGCTTGAGTAATTTAATTATTCACTATTCAAAGGCTGTTATGCAGCAGCAGTTAGCAATTAATCTAATCTGCTGTATTACTTACTTCCTACCTAACTTAAAAGTAGTGTGGTTGGTGATTGCTCTTGTCTGCCCTTCTAATATTTCATGTGGTACTTAATATCTTGCCTAACCTCTGAGATTTTTTTTCCATGTCTTGATTTTTTTTTTTAATACAAAACCCTGTGGTTGTGTATGCCATGTTCTTGTTTCTTCCGAAATTGGTTTTTAGCATTTTATGACTTGTTTGTTTTTATCACTTTTGGGAAAATTTTTTTTAAAAAAATGTAAGTTGCGATTTTGTTTGTGGTGCAGTTGGTAAGTCCAGGGGCATGGCTCTGTGATCTTACACTAGAACGGTACGAGGTTAGGGAGAAAAAGGTGTCAAAAAAGGTATGCTTCTTATATATTTGTATCGCTTCTGATTAGATTAAACATTTGTTGGTTCTGTAATCGAACATTTAGGGAGATTTCAACTGTGACCTCTTAATTTCACATTTGTAGAGACCACGAGGACTAAGGGCTATGGGAAACATGGATTCCGATTCCGAGTAGAACCCCCCCTTTGGATTTGATTGACTTGTAGGTTTCGTGCTAAAAGGTGATCATCTGCTGCTGATAATCAATGGGTAAAGAAGGTTAAGCTTTTGTCAAGTGGAGTACGCCAGCGTACTTTTGGCAAGATTAATGTGCCCTGTATTTGATAAAGTACACTTGGAGAAGAATCCAAAGCAAATTCAGTTGGTCTTGAGTATCTATCACCTTTCTTTTCCAACTCGGGGATTTTCTTTTTCTGATGAGTCATTAATCAAGGTTTAAGAGGAAGGTTCGGTTTTTTTTCGTGAATTTCATAATTTTATAAGAAATAATTAAAAATTATATTATAAATATCTTACTTGATAAGATTGACGACGAATACTCTCAAAGTAGACTAGATTTTCTTATCAAGTAGGTCGAATTCGATTCCAACTAGATGAACACTGTATTGAAGTTGGAGTTACTCGTGAGTCCGAATTGAGTACACCCCTAGCTCAGTTGCCATAATTTGGTTTAGCTTGCTCGATGGAGGATAGGACCATTGTGATGGTTGAGAAGCGAAATAGAACAACGCTGGATTTAGTGGCTTATATATAAATTCCGCTCCTGACACAAATTGGAAATTATGTATTAGCCCCATTTATTGATCAAGCATCTTGATTGAATACTTTTTCTCATTCGAATTTCTAGTTTAATCAAGCATTTTTCTTCGCTAAAATAGGAGTCTTAATCTGTGTGTTGTTAGACTCGAGTTTCAACTAAATGCTAGACTCAATTAAGTCACATAATGCTTCACTCCTGTCTGCTATTGTTTTTAGGCCTACTTGTAATTATTGGTACACATAAAATTGTCTAATAGTACTAGTATTCATTAGTTACCAAGGGTAAAAACAAAAAAAAATTGTAGAATAATAGGGGATTTTTTTCCCCGTGTTTTTAATTACCCCACAAAAATTAAAAAATAATAACGGTGCAATGAGACAATTAAGATTGTAAATCAATAAAAGATATTTTAACGAAATATTAGTGAAGAGAAATTTAAAATAAACTGCAACTCTGCAATAACATGCTAGAAACAAACCCCTCGAAGAAACTCACAAAATAATAAAAAAAAAATGAAAAAGGAAAAACAAACTGCAGCAGCGGTTACTACACTAACATCATAGCTAAGTAGTAATAAACACATGTACAAAACCTCCCCAAAATCAAATATCTCCTGCAAATAATATAAATAACTGTACTACTTCAAACTCTGAATCCAGATCCGAAGATGAAAGAAGCGAAGGCAACGGCGAATCCGGCCACCAATGACGGCGAAACTGACACGGCGGAAGAAGCGGGAGCCGGTGCAGGAGCCTCGGCGGCGAACGAGGCTCCGACTAGCGAGAAGACCATGGCCACCACGACCAACAATGGTACAACCGAAGCTGCGGAGCGTGAGACTGCCATTGCTCTCAAGGTACTGAATAAGAGGAGAGAGAGGGAGAGAGCCTAGAAAGAATGGTGGCAGCAGAGTTTGAGAGCGATGGGAGCTGGAATTTATAGAGAGATTAGGGCGGGCAAGAGTTTCGGGCAGCGAGTTAGGTTGTTCGGGCAGCAATCTCTACAGGCTGGCTATTGGTTGATGGACAGCTGGTTAAATTGGGCCCACAACAGCTCAAATTTAGGGCTGTTGCGAATCTAATAATTCAACAAGGAAATGGGATTGGGCGTAATTGATGGGCTTGGGAGATGATTACTCATTCAACAAGAATGATGGGACGGGGAAATTGATGAGCTGTATCGAATCTATGTTTTTTCTTAGCGCGACACCTGCCCTATATATTGTTGGCACCTGGCGTAAACACAATTTTGAGCTTATCTATATATCCCTGTATGGCGGCTCCTATCAAGCCAAGTCGCCAAATGTCACCTTTAAGTGCGCCCATTCCCAAGATCAGGACTTCAAAATTTGACCTTAATAGGTAGCTTAGTTCAGTCAACTTTCCCTTCACTTTTGCAGAGATTAATTCTTCATACACTGTTAGGATGTATAATATTAGCGACTTTCGATGTATGTTACTGTATTATCAATATATACATTAATAATATATAAAAAAATTAATACTAAGTTATAATAAATGTGTTTAGATAAGAATATTATTTGAAATATTATTTAGAAATAGTTATCGTAACAATTTTTATAACGTAATGGATGTGCAATAAAACGACGAGTGAAAAACATGTTTTTGATGGAAATAAAATGATATTTTAAGTATTCATTTTAAAAAATTATAATTTGTTTATATTTATCTCCTAATGTAACGGAATCTGTTTATCTTGATCTTGCTAATGTACTTTGAGGGAGAAAAATATTAGTATGAGAAGATAAAGGGTTTTTATTGAGATATGCCATCTTTTTTTTTTACAGATTTTGCTAGATTATGTTTGGTATCAAAATAATTTAGTTATTGAAAGAATAAGGATATTTGTTAATCAAATATCATGTTGGTTTGTTAACGTGTTCGAAAGGATCGGGTCTCTTCTCTCGAGCCGTAGGGTGATTAGTTAGGCCGAAGGTTCGGATACCCCCTGCGTCTGAAAAAAAAAGATTATATTTTATTGAGATTTTTAGGATAATTGTTAGTTAGATATTTTGCTAGTTTGTTTCATGTAGTCATTATATATAGTGAGTTGATAAATGAATGACGTAAGCTTATTTTCAATTTCAATACAAGTCTCTTATAAGCTTTTTTTATAATACTAAACTGTTATTTCTTAGTTTATGTCCCAAAAAATCTAACAGTTTTGCTGCTGTTGTTGCTAAGGTCAAACTTCCTTCAGTTTTTGAAAAGTTTATCATAGAATTAGTCACCGGTCCTTTAATGAAGTAAGCAGATACATGGGCATAAAATTCTAAATTTCTCTGTTCTTATCTTCGCTTGGCCAATTTTCTACACGATATGCATGAGGTACAATTTATCAACCTCTACTACACTCAAGAAACTTGAGTTTGATCTTCTTCTGGGATTCAAGAACCTCTTCCATACTTAAGTCTCTCATTAGGAGAATCAAGAGCACAATTTGAGGCTAATTTCATCAATGATCCTATACATTCCAACTTTTGCTCCAAATGTTCATCTTTCGTATTCAACAAATTGGGGTCTATAACTTCAAGAATTGCGTCAGGCATGGAATCGTTTACCCGACTTTTCAAGTTTAACTGTCCTGCAAATACTCATCACTCGGCCTTCTTCTTGTAAAAACTTCAATTAACATAATTCATTAGCTATAAACATCGCATGCTGTGGATACTAATCCTTCAAATCCACACTCTACCCAAAAAAAGAAATAGAACAAATTAAAAAAGGAAAAAAAAAGGAAGCAAAAGAATACTAGAACTAGGAATTTTTACCTGGTGCAATATAACCAATGGTAGCAAAAGTCTTGGTTAATGCAAAGCTTTCTTCCTTTCCCAACAATTTTGCAATTCCAAAATCGCTTACACAGGCTACCATGTCTTCATCAAGTAGAACATTACTAGGCTTCAAATCACAGTGAACGGCCGGTGTCAAATACTCTTGGTGGAGATATTGCAATGCACTAGCCACGTCTATCATCACGTTTAATCTTTGCAAGATGTCTAGGAAGTAGTTTTCAGAGTATAACCATTTCTCATCTTAAGGCTTCCATTGCTCATATACTCGAGCACTAAGTCCTTAAAATCTTGGTTAGAACAGCTACTGATGACCTTCACAAGATTTCGATGGCGAAGGTTCCGCAATACTTCACATTCTACATCGAAGCTTTTCAGTGCTCCTTCCAATTGCAAATTGAATACTTTTACAGCAACTGTCCTTCCATCGTTTAGCGTCCCTTTGTAAACAGATCCAGAACTCCCAATGCCAAGCAAATTGCTTTTGTTGTATCCGTCAGTTGCTTGAAGAAGTTCATAGTGTGAAACTCTTTCTTGTGTTGATACTACGACCCTGGTTGTTCCCCCTGAAGCCACTTCTTTCTTACGATATCTTCTGAATAGACATGCTGAAACCATGGCATTCACAATAGCAATTCCAAGTGAAATAAACACAATTACAAGTATCTTCTCTGCTCTTGACCGAGGGTTTGAAGTATCATGTTGGCATTTTGCGACGTGAAACTTTGAATCTCCACACAATGCACCATTGGAAATGAAGGATTTACTCGTCAAGGTCTTGAAAGGACCCTCAAAAGGAATTTCATCACTTAAATGGTTATAAGAAACATTAAAGTGCCTCCAGTGACTTTGGGATCGTAGCCGAAAGATTGTTATGTGACAGGTCGATGGATTCCAAGCTGACCATCTTGCCAATTGATTCTGGAATAGATCCTACTAAATTGCTGTGTGCTAAAGAAAGGTTAAGCGAGTTTTTCAAGTCACTGACTGTGCTAGGAATTTCCCCTGAGAATTGATTCATTGACAGGTCAATGGATATAGCAGCCTTTAGATCTCCAATTTCTTGAGGCAAGGGACCGATCAAAATATCCGAGGATGCATTTAGGTGCAAAAGGTCTTTGAGGTTATAAAAGCTTCTTGGTATAGCAGAGGCTAATAGGTTGTTTGTTAGATCAAGGATCCTAAGAGAAGTCAGAGTGGCAAAACATTCTGGTAGCGACCCTGAAATTTGGTTTTGGTATATATATAATTCAGTCAAGCTTTGCAAACAAAAATGGTCTAGACTGCCAATGATGTTGTTTCTTGAAAGAGATAATCCTCGCAGGTTCTGCAGATTCTTGGCTGTTGTTGGAAGCCCTCCAGTCAATTTATTGTTTCCTAGAGCAAGTAGTATTAAATTGGTCAAGTTGCCAATTTCACTAGGGATAGTACCCTTGATTCCACAACTTCCGGCATAAAATTTCTGAAGGAAAGCAGAGAGGCTTCCAATAGAAGCCGGAAGTACCCCATTGAATGGATTCTCATCCAATGCTAAATATGTCAAGTATTTGCATTTTGTCAGGGAGGAGATGAAGCCCAGCTCAGAAGATGAAGGTTCAATAGTCAAATTGTTCCGGAATAGAACCAAGTATTGTAGGAGTCTAAGATCCCCAAAGGAGTTAGGAATGAAGCCACTGAATTGGTTGACTGCAAGAGACAGTAATAGCAATTTGCAATAGACGCCGGTATTAGTCCACCAACATAGTTTCCATCGACCTGTATTTGCTCTAAATTGGGCAACTTGGATCCCAAATTCGATGGAAGATTGCCTGTGAATAAATTGAATCCTAGTGGAAGATTGCCTGTATTATTATTATTACTTTCTTTTTTGCTGAATTGACAAAAAAACACTTAGCATACTAGTGTTAATAGAAGATATATATAGTTAATGACTACTATGAATTATGAAATTTTCAAGCCTGGCTCTGTGCAGTATACACACACAAAATTAGCTACGTTTAATTTTTCTTTTCATAAATAACAATGAACACCTAATCTGTATCTTAATTTGTGCTTCCGCCGGGCACCTGTTAGACAAATTAATTAACTTAAAGATAAATTAAGGGTTTTTATTTTGAGATGTCCCTGGAAACTCATGAAGAGGAGACATTATGTATTAGCTTTTTTAATAAATTAAGCTAAACATACATAAAAATGCCTAAATATAGGACCAATAAATGGGTGTGCCTAAATATGAAGTAAATTGCAAGTAAAATTACAGATTCAAACAAACAGGGTTTTGGGGATCAGAGAAAACGATCCAAGTTGGCTTTTTCCCCCAAAGATTTGAGAAACTTATTTACTATATAGTTTCTTAATCCGTACAGAAAGATGCTTTGGAATATTGCATTCTTTATTTATTTACGTCCGTGACATGACACTCAAGATATCTTAGCTTGATCTTATGCAATGTATCCACAACAGCTTTCATACTGAGCCTTTCCTTGGGAGATTCAGGAACACAATTTAAGGCCAATCTCATGATTAACGACAAACATTCCAACTTTTCTGCATATCGTTCTTCATTAGGCTTCAACAATTTTGCATCTATAACTTGAACAGTTGCATTAGGCATAGAATCTTTTACCCAACTCTTCAAGTTTATATTTCCATCAAACATTTCATCACTAGGCCTTCTTCCCGTAAAGACTTCCATTAGCAGGATTCCATAGCTGTAGACATCACATGCTGTTGACACTAATCCTTCCAATCCATATTCTACAAGAAATGGTGCAATCAATCCAACAAATCATTATAAAAGAAAAAGAAAAAGAAAAAAAATTCAATAGAAACACATTGTTAAGATTACCCGGTGCCATATAACCAATTGTTGCTAAGGTCTTGGTTAATGCAGTGCTCTCCTCCTTTCCCAAGAACTTTGCAATACCAAAATCACTTACATGGGCGACCATATCTTCATCAATGAGGACATTACTTGGTTTCAAGTCGCAGTGAATCACAGGTGTCGAGTATTCATGGTGCAGATATTGCAAAGCACTTGCCACATCTATCATAATGTCCAATCTTTGGAAGACATTCAAGAAATAGTTAGGAGAGTGCAGCCATTTCTCAAGGTTCCCATTACACATGTATTCAAGGACCAAGGCTTTGAAATCATGTTTAGAGCAACTGCTGATGACTTTCACGAGATTTCGATGGCGAAGGTTGCAGAGTGCATCACATTCCACATCAAAACTCTTCTCTGCACCTTCTAGTTGCAAATTAAATACTTTTACAGCCACTGACCTACCATCACCTAGAGTCGCTTTATAAACTGATCCAAAACTCCCAGAGCCAATTAAATTGCTCTCACCATACCCATTAGTTGCTTGTAACAGCTCATAATAAGAAACTCTTTCTTTCCTGGTTACACCAGGAAAGAAATCTGTTGCACTTGGAACCTTTTTCTTCCTCTGGAATCTTATGAATACAACGGCCAAGGCTAAGACGACCACAATAGCAATCCCCAGTAAGCAAAGTGTAATTAAAAGCACCCTTTTCAATTTTGATCCATGTTGTGGATTGGTTTGGCATGGTGGAACATCAAATTTTGGATCGCCACACAGAGCGTCATTGGAAATGAAGGATTCACTTGTGAAGCTTCTGAAAGGACCAGCCGAGGGAATTTCACCCCTCAAATGATTAGAAGAAAGGTTAAGGACTTTCAAGGATTGAAGTTTATCCAATGATTTTGGGATCAAACCAGAAAGGCTGTTATTTGACAAGTCTAGGGATGTTAAGCTGAACAGGTTTCCAAAAGATTCAGGAATTGATCCTAGCAACTGGTTGTCTGCCAAAGAAAGGTTTTGGAGGTTCTGTAAATCTCCCATTGTCAAAGGAATCTCCCCAGAGATTTGATTCATTGACATGTCAATATTTATGGCAGCCTTCAAATTTCCAACCTCGAGAGGCAATGAGCCAATTAAGGAGTTTGAGGCCAGGACAAGCACTAAGAGATCTCTTAATTTCCACAAGCTTCTAGGAATAGTAGAGGTTAATAAGTTGGAGCGAAGGTAAATATCCCTGAGAGATGTCATATTGCCAAAACAATCTGGAATAATGCCTGGAATTTGGTTTTGGCTAAGATATAACTCAGATAAGCTGTGCATCTTACAGAAACTATCTAGACTGCCCCCTAGTTTGTTTCTCATGAGAGACAGCACCTGAAGGTTTTGTAAGTCTTGGACTGTTCTTGGAATATCTCCAGTTAACTGATTGTCTTCTAGAGAAATCAAGAGTAGACTGCTCAAGTTGCCAATTTCTCTTGGGATGGGGCCTTTGATATTAGAAGCTCTTGCATTGAAATATTGTAGGGATGTAGAAAGATTTCCAATGGAAGCTGGAAGAACCCCGTTAAGTGGATTTTCAGCTAGCTCTAAAGTCTTTAAATGCTTGCAATTTGTCAACGAAGTAAGAAACTCCAGCTCCAAAGATGTAGGATCACTGGTCAAATTGTTGTCAGAAAGAAATAGAGATTCCAGGAGTTCAAGATTCCCAATGGAGTTTGGAATGGAGCCAGTAAATCGGTTTCCTGGAAGGGATAGAATGGTTAATTTAGAGCAATTTACAATAGAAGCTGGCATAATTCCACCGATGTTATTTCCGTCAAGATGAAACTTTTCTAAATTTGGCCATTGGTAACCAATATTTGAAGGAAGATTGCCTGTGAGGTGATTGAATCCCAATGAAACCACACTCAACGTTGAGAGGTTGAAGATCCCAACCGGTATTGAGCCATTTAACTCATTGAATATTAAATAAAGTGCCTCCAGTTTGTGAAGGTTGGACATCTCTTCTGGTATTACACCTATCAAATAATGCAAATGGAAGTGGCAAGTGTAAATTCTTAAAGAACCAGGAAATAAGAGATTTAAGATGTTATGGAACATGATTTTGGAAATATCACTAATTAAATGTAATCTGGTACCTGTTAAGAAGTTGTGCGCAAATACAATCAATGTAAGCTCGGTCAAATTCCCAATTTCTCTGGGTATAGAGCCTGTGATTTGGTTTCTTTCTATGCCAAATTCCTTGAGGTTCCTAAGATTGCCGATCTCTCGTGGAATGAGCCCTGCCAATTTCAAAGATTTATTTGTAATATGAAAGCGTACCCACAAATAAGTGATGAAAAAAAGACACTGACTACCGAAATGTAAAAGAAATATTCTACTAACAGTTTGTGAAAAATGATAAATTGGAAGTATGTATACACCGTCATGCGTTTGCCTTGGAGTTTTGACATTGTTTGTACAAGATAAAACTAATAGAAGAGCTCAAGTTCAGCACCAGTATGTACCTTGTAAATTGTTGGTTCCGATTGTAGCTAGATGGTCATCAAAGTAACTCATTTGGTATAAATCATCTATCTATCTTGCACCTCATCCAAGGAATCCAAAACTTTTGATTATACTCTTCTTACATGTGAATAGCTTGCTTCTATCCAGTCAAGTTTCATTCTTGGGTAATTTGATTGTTACGTGGAGGATTGTATCTCAATTTGCTGCTGCTGCAGGAGGACTTCAAATATTCTTAGCTAGCTATTATATGTGATAGGTGCATCCAGAATCATACTTGAATAGCCTAAAGAGTAGCTCAAATGTTGCCATCATTGTTGAGGTGAGGTTTGCCATGCTGTCGTTATTTGTTATGTGATTTCTAATGTACTTTTCTGGCAAATGATAGCTATGGTAATCAAATTTATGGATAACCCTTTAGGTTCTGATCACTTGATCATTTGATGTATGGCATTTAGGTCCCCCCTGTTGCTGTATTGCCCAATTGTGTTGTGCAGCAGAAAGTTCTTTCTCCTTTTCGCAAGCAGGTGAGATTAACTATGTGGCTTCATTTTCTTCTTGCTTTGGTTCTAAAAGTTAATGCTAAATGTAACTCTAGGTTGGAGGAACTATATTGGCTGCAAAGCTTGCTAAAGAACGTGGATGGGCTATCAACGTTGGGGTGGGTTCCATCATTGTTCGGCTGCTAAAGGAGGTGGATTTTGTGCTTATGCAGACATTTCTCTTTGCATACATTTTGCCTTTGCCCGTCTAAATATTTCAAGGTAATATGCATACATCAGATGCTTTTTTTTATGGATTTAGCAATGGGCACGCTCTTCATGGTCAGATGCTTCCCTTGCTCATTAATTGTAACAATCAACAGGGTGATGATTATTGATCTCGATGCACACCAAGGAAATGGGCATGAATTGGATTTTTCTAGTGACAGTATGACCTTGAACCTATCTCCTGGCCTCGTTTTGCTTTCATGATATTGATTGGTCTTCTATCATACTGGCAGGAAGAGTTTATATTCTTGATATGTACAATCCTCATATTTATCCCTTTGTAAGTCATCTTCTGAACCTCGTTTGTATTTATAGCAATCACGTTTGCTGGTTTATATACAATTGGTATTTTGTTTGGGATTTTCCTCTCACCTATTCCTTTTTTCTTTTCCTATTATTTTTGTTCAAACTTACATCCACCAAGTGGTGATATCAGAACAGCACAAAAGAGATACTTGTGTCATGATGGACATTCTGTCTGAGCCATTAATTTTCTCTTCATTGTTGTTTAGGACTATGAAGCCAGGAGGTATATTGATCAGCAAATTGAAGTGCCGGTCAGAATGAGATTTTATTGGCTGAGGTTTGTTGATTTGGATTCTTTCAAGTTTTCAAGTTGGATGACATCCTTTTACATTTTTTAAACAGACTGGGACATTAACAAGCGATTACTTGTCAAAACTAGATGAAGCTCTTGAGGTATATAAATCTGTCATTTCCAATCTTGTATTTTTCGTCCATTGAGTTGTAGAAAATCTTCTCAAGTTCTTTTCCTTTTCTTTTAAGTACAGATATGAACTCCAATATTACATTTTCAGGTCTTTAGTGGAAAAAGAAAAGCAGACACTGAAATTCTCCTTGAGAAAGATGACCTGCATGGCTGCATGTAGTTTGACATATGCATCATGTATTTTGTTAGTTCCTGAATGCTTCTGCAAAAGTGAAAATCGATGTTCTGTTCTGCTAAACGCATTCACAAGTGTTGCCAACAAGCATTATTGGTGGCAGCATTTCTAAGGGGGGTTATATGAATTGTTGTTCCCTCCATCTTTCAAATTGGTTCACATACGTTGCCTTTTATGTGCAACTACAGAGAGAGAGAGAGAGAGAGATGACAAGTTCTTGCTGAAGTTGATACGAAGGCCAAGGCCATTTACCTTGATGTCCAACTTTGCTTGAATTTTCTTCAAGAATTTTCATATTTAGGCACACCGGCTGATTTGAATTTGTTTCTTGTCGTCCTTGATGTTAATCTTTATGAGTCGCTTTTCACATACAGTAACATTTTGGTGGAAAAGTTGGGGGAGTTCATCCCTGCAACATGGGTTTTCATCCATAAGTTGCATGTAATGTTCTATTTTTCCCTCATTCAGTAAAATGCTCATTGATGACTTGCTTCTGGACTAGCAACATTGTTGTTCTTGGTCCAGCTGTAATTTGGTGGCTTGATATATTGCATTTCCAGCTACATTATTACATATTGTAAATTTTACCATCTGCATTGAAGTTTTATGGTTTTGATATCAAATTAGTTGTGTCAATTGTTCATCTGTTGATATAAATAGTGCCTTATTTGGTACTTTCTAGGTTGCTTCACGGAATTTTAGTCCTGAGTTGATCGTGTACAATGCTGGCACTGATATTCTGGACGGAGATCCTCTGGGCAGGTTGAAGGTATTTCTTTTGGTTTGGTTCTTTGGTTGTCATATATCTGTCTGGGAAATTATTAAAATCTAACTGGGACACTGTCAAATTCGCTTTGCTTTTGTCATGTGTGTGTCAAAGCAAAAGAAGACAGAAAGCAAACGTAACGCTGCCGATGAAGATTTCATGAATGTTAACTATCAAATGCATATCTTTGCAGATCAGCCCGGAGGGAATTGCCACAAGGGATGAAAAGGTGTTTAGTTTTGCTCGTGAGAGGAGCATACCTCTTGTCATGCTTACATCAGGTAATTGCTTATGAACCTTACCCTACAGGATTTAGGACCCCTTTCTTTTTACTGTCCACAACGCATTTATCTTATGCAACTTTATTGCATTTTTAGGTGGTTATATGAAATCCAGTGCAAGAGTGATTGCAGATTCAATTATCAACCTCTCCAAGAAGTCCTTCATAGATCTGCAGAGTTCACCAGGGAAAATTTAACCGCCATAGAGTCCTTTTTGTGCTCCTATTACAAAAAACAAAATGTTTACTACTTGGAAATCAAAATAGGTTCCTCAATTTTTTCTTTGGTATGCTAGTCAAGTACTCCTGGAAAACGAAAAGAATAGTCTGTAGATATAGGAGAAATTAGAAAAACGCCATGGATGTCATCATCTCCTCTCTCTCTCTCTCTCTCTCTAAGTGGTGATATGTAGACAGGCTACAAGTCTAATACAAAGCTGTACTGCTGAAATTGTTGTTTTATTTTGGAGTGGCTGTAAGGAAGCAAGATCAAGAGATGAAGGCTGAAAGTTATTCGGGTTAAACAGTGCAGAGCACTCAATGAACTGGCAACTTGCTCCTGGAATTCATTGCAAAGGTCCAGTCTCGTTCAGACAAGAGTATCAGATTCTTCTGTCAGCCATGAAATGCTGAGCTGAAATGGTTCTATCAGCCATGTAATATATGTGTCACATGAATCTTTTTACGCTGTTGAGTTCTGAAACCTTTCTCTGGGATTGGGAGTTAGCTACTTAATCCTCCTCTTAATGACCAAGAAACCATGGGGAACGTGAGCCTTCGGCAAGAATACGTTGCTATAATTCCAATTACGAAAATATAAATTGGTTACTTCTAAATTATCTTGAAAATTCAAAAAAATTCTCGATAGGGGTATGTTTTGCGTTTAGATCATTGGTACGCAATGTGGAAAATATACCATGGATGCTTGTTAATTGCTGTATTTTAAAATAACTTTCACTGTAGTAAGGACATGCTGTGACTATGGCCTTTTTTTTTTTTTTTTTTCAGAGGATATGCAAGACTAATGTTATTAATGATGTAGCTGAAAATCGTCCGGTACAAATGGACAAACAAATTGTGTGATTATGACCATATTGATAATTCAATTTAACACTTAAATTTAATGAATTTAACTGTTAATGGAACATATTTGATAATCTAATTTATCACTTAAATTTAATGAATTTAGATGTTAATATGTTCAGTGGTGTTTGATAACAAAAAATAGAAAATCTTAATAAATTAAATGGATCTAAATTATTTAGGCAAAACTTATTCAAAAAATAAGTGATACGTTGTTCACTCATCGCTTAATTTAAAATATTGTTTACTTATCATTTAATGCAAAATATGCTTAAATGGTTTCACTATTTGACAATTTAGTAGCTTAATAAATTTTAGATTTCAAACTTTAGTATCTTAATGATTTCACTTATGTGTCTAGGGATTAAGGATCATTACAACAAATTTCAATTTCACTTATGTGTCTAAAGGATTAAGGACCATTACGACAAATTTCAGATTTTGGTCCTTTTTTGTAACGTTTTCAATAGACTTTAGAAGCATTTAAAGTTCATTCTAGAATCTTCTAGTAAGAGGGACGTTTCAAACAATAATAATACTCAAAGTTCATCTCTGGCTTACTTCTAATCTTAAGCTATTTTTATGAAAAACGAAAAATTACGTTAGTATCCCCAACCAATATTATTGTTAGTTTTTCCCTTAATCTGCACCAAAACTCTGCAAAGGTATTGTAATCGTTGTTTGATTTCCAGGGCTCCGCTAACATGCTAATTTTCTTTTTCTGTCTCTTCCCCAATTTTCCAATTCAATTTGAGGGCTGGTATTAATTTTGTGCATGTGGGCTTGTACAATTTTGTACCTTGACGTGCATCTGCATGTGCATGCGAGTTTCTGAAGTTTTCTTTGATCTTGCAGTTCTTGATAGATATATTTGGTTAGAGTAAGAAGGCGGCATCAATCATCATAATGTTGGTAGAGTTAAAAGACCGGCTTACCCAAGCCATTCGGATATGAAGAATGCTACTGTTGTGGATGAGAGCGTAGTGAATGAATGTCTCAATGAGATCACCCGGGCACTTCTTCGAGGTGATGTGCCCTTTCATTTAGTTAAGGAATTGGTGAACAATGTCAAGAAGAGTGCCAATCTCAACAATCTGCCATCAGGGATCAATAAGCGCAAAATTCTTGAAGAGGTATTCTTTTTCTTGGTTTAATTTTCCGTGCTTTTGTTATTTTTTTGACTGCATGCAGTGCATTTAGACTTGGCTAATGCCCACATCAAGTTTGAAATATGTGAAAATTTAGAAGGTAGAAGCAAAATTAAGTATGGTGAATGTTTTGTTGCCTGATTTCGCAGCTGGTTGTATAGGAGGTTATTGGTTGAGACAGATAAGCAGTTTATTGGTTGATTGATTTCTATTTTTTTCGGGATTACAAGCTTACAACTTTCTATTGCTCTTTGGTAGATGATCATGAGACTGCTGGTAAATAGTAGTACTGACCTGGGGAATGTGTGTATGGCCCTGATTGAAATCAAAACAATAAATAGGGACTCTTAATATCCTACTTGCAAGATTCTATTTTGGTACATCCTTTGTGAAAAGGCCAGATAGGGTCTTATCTCAAGTTTTCTCTACTGCAAAATTATGATTCAAGGTCTACAATTTTCTATACATCTGCCTAAATTCCTGGCAAAGAGCATATCATGCTTGCTTCTTATTTCTTGCACTAATTCGCCTTTGACTGCGACAATCTCTTCAATTTTGTGCAGAGCATATTTAGTGAGCTCTGCAACATGTTAAATCCGGGAAAACCATCTTTACCCGCGAAAGGGGGAAACTAGTGTTGTGATGTTTGTTGGTTTACAAGGTATGGTTCTCTTCAATATATTGCTAATTCAGTATAGTATCTATATCTCTGTTTATATGGTATGGGTAACACCTGTGAAATAATTAGTGTTGGATCTGTGTTTTTTTCAACATTCACGATTTAAATTTCAGGAACTGGGAAGACCACCACGTGTGCCAAATATGCCTATTATCATCAGAAGAAGGGATGGAAACCAGCATTGATCTGTGCTGATACATTCAGAGATGGTGCTCTTGACCAGTTAAAACAAGATGCTGTGAAAGTAGAAATACCCTATTATGGAAGGTAACTGAAACTTTGAATGCATAATTTGCAGTCAAATAGATGCTTGGGATATAACGTGGTTAAAATGGCATTACGAATTCTAGTGTTTTACATTTTGTCATCATGCGTCCCTAGTTTGTTAAAGTTTAATAAATTTGTTGTGAAGTTTCATAAAATAAAAAGTTGATTATCCTTTGAGGGGCTTACAACCAGCAAAGCAATTGTGATGAATTCTTCAAGCTATATAGTTGCTGACATTTTTTGATCAAAAAACTTGAAATAGTAAATAGTTACACAGCAGTTTCAATTTAGATTATGACTTTTTTCCCTCGTGCAGCTTTTAGAAGGACTCTGATCATGTTTGTTTCATTCCTTCAGTGGACTATTGCTGATCTTGAAGTTCATTTCATAGGAATTTGTAAGTTGCAATAATCACCCTTTTCTTTTTTGCCTAAACAGTTCCACAGAGTCAGATCCTACAGAAGTTGCTTTGGAAGGACTGAAACGGTTCAAGAATGAAAACCGTGATCTGATCATTATTGATACAAGTGGGCGTCACAAACAAGAGGTCGCACTTCTTGAAGAGATGCGTCAACTGTATGAGGCAACGGTAACTTCAACATTACGAGTCTAATTGAGTGCAAGCTTAAATGTCTTTAGTTGTAATTTTAAAAGCCTTTTCCGGTAACGTTCCAGAAACCAGATCTCGTGGTGTTTCTGATTGATAGTAGCATTGGTCAAGCAGCATTTGATCAAGCTCGAGCTTTCAAACAGAGTGTCTCTGTTGGAGGTGTGATTGTCACTAAATTTGATGGTCATGCTAAGGGAGGGGTGCTATCAGTGCGTAAGTATGGTAGCCAAGTTAGATGTTTCTTGCTTATATTGTTTCTTTGCCTCATCTATGAGCTGCATTATCTGCTCCTTCAACTTAACGTTATCTCAGTTACATTTCCTTTTCTCAATTCTTTCTCTTCATTTAGATGCATGTGATGAGCTGTTGTTGAAGGTTAATAGCCATTTTTTTTTCCTGTTAAGTGCATGTGTAGGGATTGCTTCATTTGTAGTTTACACTAGTAGAGGAGCAATTTAGACTTCTGTTTCTCATGGACAATGATGATTGGATTACCACATGAATCCGGCATATATGGTATGCAAGTATATACATGAGGGCAAAGTATACCTAAAAACTTTAAACAAGTTAAAAATATCCTAGGCGTATATTGCAATAGATTATCTGCATGTTCTTTTGCTTGGCCTCTATCGCTTATTTGCTCAGACTCCCCTGCTTTTCCAGCCCCAAATTCTGGAAGAGTTAAAAAAGGAAAGTTGAGAAGGAAAAGATCTCTGTGCTGCTGCCACTAATCATCTCCTTAATGAACAGATAGGAAAACTTAGTCATGACTTTATCTTTTATGTCAGACATCACCTTCGATAATGCAAAGCTATAAAAGTTCAAGCTTCTGTTCATCCCAACCAATAAATGAATTAATAAGAAAAACATCAATATTCTGATCTAGGCATCTAAATATATTATTGCCAATATTATAAGCATGGTTCGCCATCTCAGCCGAATTATAACCGGAACGTAGGGGACAGGTACGATACCGATTCTCGAATCATAGAGAATTCCATATTCGCGGTAATTCACTTTGACTCGACTGATATTGATCGATTCGAATCTGTGATGCATGGAATTGGCCAAAATATCCGAGTCTATTCGGAGTCGATTCGGATTTTTTTTTTTTTTTTCAGATTGTGCCTTTTTGGTATTTTCTATTTTTAATAAAATTTTCAAATTTTTTTGAAATTTTTTATATGTTATAATGTGAGTATCACCTAATATCCAATCGATATGTCGCGACGGATGTGAAACAACCGCAACCGCGACGTGATGGTGACCCGCCACAATGAACCATGGTTATAAGGATTTGAATTTCTACTCTTCGTTTCTCTTGCTTAGGCTTTCTTTGATATCTGTGATTCATTTCATTCAGTTTATTCATTGTAAGGATTCGTTTGATATCTCACCTTATGCTACAGTGTGGCAGCAACAAAATGTCCTGTCATATTCATAGGAAACGGAGAGCAGCTGGATAAGTTTGAAGCTTTCGATGCCAAGGCTTTTGTTTGTCGTCTCCTAGGTAACTATATCTATATTACTTAATAATGCATATTTCCACTGAGATATTTGATCATTCTGGTTTCTCATCCCATAAACATTTCAAGTTCTGCACTTATTTTCTTCGCAATTACAATCAGGTAAGCATCATCCAGCTGAGCTAGTGGACAGATTTCGGGACTCCGTGTCTCTGGATGAACAGGCTGACTTGTGCCAAATGTTTACTGATGGAGAAAACTTTACCTTCAAAAAGTATCAGGCTGTTGTAAAGCACAATTACAAGGTATGGAAGCGTCAGGTTGCTTGCATTCGTAGTTGTATCATAATATCTGAGATCACCCTTCTATTACTGTCCAGATGGGTCCTTTATTGTTAAGTCAAGTCCGGGATTTGCAGCCAAATGTCCAGGAAAATGTGAAACCAGAACAAATGAAGAAATATCTGATCATGATGGATTCACTAACGAGTGAAGGCAAGTAATTTTTAATTTACTGCATTCTTTTAAGCTTATT